TGCCTCTCCTCCCCCAGGTTCTTTCCGCTTCCCGGAGTGGCGCGGGGACAGGGTAGACAGACAGGGAGCCTGCCCTACCCCCGGTGCGGGTCGGGCTGTAGCCACTCTAGGTAAACGCTGAGGGAGGGCGGGGGGGCCACGAGGAACAGAAAATAACCCCGCGGGCCACGTGTTTGAGACCCCTGTTCTGGAACACAGGGGCAGTCATAATTTCTATAAAAGCTAACAAGGAACAAATAAACAAAGTGTGTGAATTGATCAAGCCATCTGGTGTAAATAGTTTGACAACAAACTCTTGCTATATAAAAAATAGAATCTATATGTTTTCAATATAGAGACTACTGTCTGGATTGTACTGTCTGGAATTTAAATTAAATGTTACTTGGGGTTATTTTTTGGTTTCAGAATTATAGGAGTGCAAACAAATGTGTGGTTTTAAATGTCTTATTGGTGTTTGTATACATCCTCACAAGTTTAAAACTGAGGTCTGATACACGACAGTTAATGGCCAGGATATTGACAAGGGCACATAGCTACTTTATTTGTTAAATAGCTAAGCTATTAAGGTTTAAAAAGTAGTTACTGTGCATGAACATGATTTTTTTCCATAAACTATTTCATTGCTATTTTTTGTACAGTAAATGTGTAGTCTTCTGTGTGGATTATACAGAGTGTTAGTTTTAAATATAGAGGCTTCCATTGTTACTCTGGATGGAGGCTTTCTAATCTCATTTGTGAATAAATGGAGGATTTAAAGCTCCCTGAGAACAAATAGAGTAGATGGATCTTAATAGAACTGAAAGGAGCCTTTCTAATCTGTCCACAATCCACAGATTATATACTGCCATTGAGGTTTTATTTCTGTATGTTATCAACTATCATTCAATTTTTAAACACGTATTATTAATACTAGAAAACATGTTAAATCTCATATTTGTAATTTTTTGGTTCCCACCTTGTACTCAATTTAGCTCACAGTACATGGAGTAGAATGTTTAGCATAATAAATTAAACTCAAAACATACAAGATTAAATTATGGTTTGAAGTGGGATCCTTATTAAAGATCACTGAAATCAGTAGGGTTATTATAAGGAAAAATCTGACCCATTTTTGTGAGTTAGACATTTATGCACTGATTTTCAAACTCAGTGTTGGGCTCATATTTTAGCCCCACAAATAACTGGGACTATTTTATAGGGGCACATCTGGGGAACCATTTAAAAATTTACCAGAAACAGACAGGAGTGGAGGAGCTTTGTTGCTGCCCTAAACACCAGTAGCGTAATGGGAACACGATGATGATGATGATTGTATAGGATTTACACATCTACCTGACTTGTAGACAGTCGGAAAGGTAGATGTCTGAATTCTAAGAAATGCACTCACAATGTACTGATCCAAAATGCAAGCAATGCTCTACTGTGTGATTGTGACCAATACCAGTATCATCTGTCCTCTCCTCCTTAGTATTTTGTCATGTGTTTGTCCACCACAGCCTGATGGATACATTTCACTGGGAGAGAACACCATTGTCTTTACCCCGGATGGAAACTGAGAAGGGATGTAGGTTCCGGAAACTCTTTACCCTTCCCCACCTTTCTTAAAAGAAATCAGTGTGAAATTGCCCATGCAGCAATAATCTTAATAAAAACAACATTAAAATAGATAGAAAATGGAATTATACATAAGAAATAGTTTGCTTAACGTATCTACATTTACACTTCTCAAAGCTAAACTAGATAAGGCATTCTCTGCTTAGTTACAGAGAAGAAAACAAGAAGTGAACTGTTTACGTCCCTTGAAATCAATCCCTTTCTCTTTGACCACTGGTTCTCCAGTCAACTTTGTGTTGCTGTCTAGAGAGAGACTCCTCTTCCCTGTGTCCCCTCCACATGTGCTTATTAAATCCCTTTCCTAGTTTCCCCCATTTTCTAAACAGAAAGATGCACATTAGGAGTTGGTAAAATGGTTTCATTCCTCACCTTCTAGGTCATGGATTATTGAGGAAGAGAAAATCCTTAACAATGATTAATGGTTGCCTTTCAAGGATACTGGGCTCAGCTATTGTTTTTCACAGTCCACCTTGACTGGCTGTAGCCAGTTTCATTTGGGCTTCTTGGTAGATACCCTCCCACCCCACCTCAAGCAGTTTTTTGTTTTGTTTTGTTTTATGATGAACTATGAATTATAGACCGAGACCCAGACCCTTTGTAACAATAATATCAGTACCAGCAGCGTCGGCTAACTTTGGCTTCAATTACAAACTAAAAAACGGTTTCACCATGTCAGTACTTGGATGACCGGCTACCAATAAATGCTAGAATGTTGTAGGGATGGTTTATTCAGTAGCTGGCACTCTTTAATGCCCCAGTTAATGGTTTGGTCATGTAAACACCAGTGATGACATCCTCAGCACCACTCCAACCCCCTTTATACTGGGCAAAAAAGCCAGAGAGAGGGGGTGTGTGTGTGTGTGTGTGTGTGTGTGTGTGTGTGTGTGTGTGTGTGTGTGTGTGTGTGTGTGTGTGTGTGTGTGTGTGTGTGTGTGTGTGTGTGTGTGTGTGTGTGTGTGTGTGTGTCCCCGTCCGGGGGAAGGAAGGGGAGAATACTACCTTCAGCACAGACACTGTGGAGCCCAGCCCCTGGGATGACATGGGAGGGGTGTGTGATGGGGGTGGAGCTGGGATGGGAGGGGCATGTCAGGGGAATAGCAATAGTATACAGTGCTGCAGATTCCAGGCACCACTGCAGCTCCAAGAAGCTGCCTTCATTTAGGCCCCCAGAGCTGTCTAAATTATGCCAGGAGCCTCACCACAGAGCTGCCCATAATTAGGAGGTACAAAGCTCGCTTAAAGCCACCTTTGTATCCCTTTCCCCCACTTGGGCTGAGAGATCTGTGCAGCAGAATCTCACTGAAGATTTATTTTCATATTATTATTAATCTGAAAATAAATTTGTTAAATTAGGAAGGTAGCAGAATATCTGTAAGGAGACAGAAGAAATCTTTAGGTGGATACATGGTTCTTAGGGGAAGATGCTAGGTACATATGGTTGTCCTGCTGCTCCCCTTTACATTAATAGTTGGAAAAATTACCTCTGCCACATTCTTGATTTCATAATTAAAATGCACTTACCTGTCCAATGTTTTAAATCTGAAAAGTACATTTGTAGCTTTCATTTCTTTTGTAGCAGTTTGCCAACACAGGAGAAATAAATTGCTGGAAAAGCAAAGAGTATTTTCAGCAGAGTTAAATGGACCATTTAATAATGATATCCACTATCAGACCTACATCATACATTCAGGAGTGGAAAAGGTCCACTAGACCAGTTTCCAGCTATATTTGAAGGACAATGCTAATGACTCTTTGCACACATATTTTACCTTATTCATTTCTGCTTATTTTATGTTTCCTACTAGGCTGATGATAAAGACACTGGAAATTACAGTGCCATGCAGTACAGACTCATCATACCCCCAATCAAGGATGGCAAAGAAGGTTTTGTGATCGAAGCCTATGAAGGGCTTATAAAAACTGCCATGCTGTTCAAAAATATGAGAAGGTCCTATTTCAAGTTTCAGGTCATTGCAACTGACAATTATGGGAAAGGATTGAGCAGCAAATCAGAAGTACTTGTAAGTATATGAATCAGTCAATGTCTTCTTGAAATTATTCCTGATACACTAGAGGAAATTCTAACTCTAGATAAAGTTTCAGTTCCAAAGAGCTAGAAGGGATGGACATGAACTTTGTGAATATGATCTTTTCAAGACACTTTCCCCAAAACAAAAGCTTTCTGAATACCTTAAAAAAAATGTATGTACTATAGCAATATGTCTATATGTCCTATTTACACAAAGATAATACAGCATGCTAGATATTCACAGAATATATCCTCATGTACTCAATATCTACCAGGATTTTAATTGTTTGTATTAAATTTAAAATGAAGAAGCCATATGCTGAGGATTCGTGAAGCATGATTCTGTTCACAGCAAGATAAATACTGCAGACAGGAAGGAATCAGGGACTTCCTGTAGGCACTGAGAGCACAATATAGGTACCTCATGGTGTTTTATAAATTCAGATAAATAAATAAATAAAATATTATGAGACCACTGACAATTGGGTGCTCAGGGGAAAACACAGGTGGCCACATCTTGGGTGTTCTGGGGAATAATAGGCCCTACATAGGAAGCAGGATTTTTCTGTTGAATCACCCAAAATTCAGGGGATATGCTAATAGGTGGATTTATTTAGCTCCAACCAGCATATAAAGTAAGCTGCCCCTCTTTGGGCGTGAAGCTAAGACAGAGAAGATGCTGGAAGGAGACCCTAGGAACAGCCAAACTCAGGGAGGAAGTTTTGCCTGAGGTTTATAGTTTGTTATTAAATGATCCCAAGCTATTAAATGATCACAAACTATTCTTTCCACAGAACTCCTACCTCATTTAATTCACAGGATGGACAATATTCAGGGAAATGAATCAGGGTTGTGTAGTAAATGAGAATGTTGTTTGCAGGACCCCACCTCAGTTGCTGCAAAAGTTGAATGCTGTGTAGAGAGTGAGTAGAGGACCGCAGAAAGAGAACTGTTGGTTTCATGATTTAAGCAGCTGAATGCTGCCCCAGAGACTTGGATTCTATCTCTGCCTCTCTCACAAAGTCTGTATGCGATGCTAGTTAACTCATTTAAATGAAAAATTTCATAGCTGGCTGCTGTGTGTTCCTCATTTTCTGGGTGCTCAGCTTAGGGTGCTTGGGGACTGAGTTTACATCTGGAACTAAAGTCAATGGGAGCTGTACTTGGAACATATAAAGTACTATGGAATAATATGGGTTTCTCAGTTTAAAAAGGGTAAACAAGATAACCTGGGTAATTATAGTCCTGTCGGTTTGACATCGATCCCAGGCAAGATAGTCGCTGATAAGGGATTCAATTTGCAAACAATTAAAGCAGGGTCATATAATCGGCATGGGTTTATGGAAAATAGAGCCTGTTAAACTAAGTTGATATCTTTTTTAAAAAAATTAGATTACAATTTGGTTGACAAAGGTAATAGTGATGATATAATATACTTACCACTTCTATAAGTCATTTGACTTGGTACAACATTTTGATTAAAAAACTAGAATGATATAAAATCAACATAGCATGCATTAAAAGCTAGTGGATAGGTCTCAGCATGTAATTGTAAATGGGGCATCCTCATTGAGCAGGTGTGTTTCTAGTGGAGTCCCGCAGGGATTGGTTCTTGGCCCTACGCTATTTAACATTTTAATCAAACATCAGGAAGAAAACATAAAATCATCACTAATAAAGTTTGCAGATGACACACAAACTGGGGGAATGATAAATAATGAAGACAGGTCACTGGCATAGAGTGATCTGGATAACTTGGTAAGCTGAAAAGCACACACTGTGCATTCTAATGACTAAATGTGAATGTGAGCCATACTTACCCAATGGGTGCCTGTGTACTGGGAAGCAGTGACTGAAAAAGCTTTGAGGATTATGGTGGACGAACACAAGCTCCCAGTGTGACACTGTGGCCAAAAGGATTAATGCTATCCTTAGAGGCATAAACCGGGAAATCTCGAGTAGTAATGGAGAAGTTATTTTGCCTCTTTGGCATTGGTGCGACCGCTGCTGTAATACTGTGTCCACAATTCAAGGATTTAATAAATTGGAGAGGATTCAGAGAAGAGCCACAAGAATGAATAAAGGATTAGAAATCATGGCTTATTGACTCTAAGAGCTCAGTCTATTTAGTTTAACAAAGAGAAGATTAAGGGGTGATTTGATTACAGTCTATAAGTACCAACATGAGGAACAAAATATTTGATAAAGGGATTTTCCATCTAGTCAAGAGAGGTATAAACTTATCCAAAGGCTGGTAGCTGAAGTTAGACAAATTAAAACAAAAATTTGCACCTTATTTCCTAACAGTGAGAGTAATAATCAATTGAAACTATTTATTAAAGGGTGTGGTAGTTTCTCCTTCTCTGGCTATTTTAAAATCAAGATTGAAGGTTTTTCAAAGGATATTCTCTAAAAATTATTTTGCAGAATTTCCATGGATGATGGTGTATAGAAGGTCAAACTAGATGATCACAATGGTCCCTTCTGGCATTGGAATCTATTAATCAAGCTGAACACTCAACATTAGTGGATAATTGAGTGTTTTGGCTTTAATCACTTGGTGTCTCAGATCACCGTCTGTAAAATGGGGATATTTCCCTACCTTGCAGGATTGTTGTGAATATAATTCATTGTTTGTGAACCACTAACTGTGGAATGTAAATGGTATGCAGTAAATAAGATATGAGAACACACAGTGAATGATGAAGATAAAAATGAATAGCTATCTTGTAGGATTTAGGATTGTGTATTACTGCCCGTCACTATTGTATCAGAGCACCTTCCATGTAGACTGGCAGTTACAAGGACTTTAGTGTACTTCATGGAGCAGGCTTGTCAAGGCTCCTTCCCCACTCTGAACTTTAGGGTACAGATGTGAGGGCCTGCATGAAAACTTCTAAGCTTAACTACCAGCTTAGATCTGGTCCGCTGCCACCAGTCCCAATGTGCTAATTCCCTTCTCTGGGTAGCCTTGAGAGACTCTTCACCAATTCCCTGGTGAATACAGATCCAAACCCCTTGGATCTTAAAACAAGGAGAAATTAACCATCCCCCCTCCTTTCTCCCACCAACTCCTGGTGGATCAAGATCCAACCCCCTTGGAGCTAAAAACAAGGAAAATCAATCAGGTTCTTAAAAAGAAGGCTTTTAATTAAAGAAAGAGGTAAAAATCATCTATGTAAAATCAGGATGGAAAATAACTTTACAGGGTAATCAAACTTAAAGAGCCCAGTGGAACACCCTCTAGCCTTAGGTTCATAGTTACAGAAAACAGAGGTAAACACCCTAGTAAAAGGTATATTTACAAGTTGAGAAAACAAAGATAAAACTAACACGCCTTGCCTGGCTGTACTTACAAGTTTGAAATATGAGAGACTTGTTCATAAAGATTTGGAGAGCATGGATTGATGTCTGGTCACTCTTAGTCCCAAGAGCGATCTCTCCCCAAAAACAAAGAGCACAAACAAAACCTCCCCCCACCAAGATTTGAAAGTATCTTGTCCCCTTATTGGTCCTTTGGGTCAGGTGTCAGCCAGGTTACCTGAGCTTCTTAACCCTTTACAGGTAAAAGGATTTTGGAGTCTCTGGTCAGGAGGGATTTTATAGTATTGTACACAGGAGGGCTGTTACCCTTCCCTTTATAGTTATGACAAGGCTATTCAGTAAGTATTATCCATTCTGTGCACTGAATAAGGCAGGGATATGGTGGAAAAAATAGTATTTGATTGTGTGTAATTAAAAAACTGTATTATAATGAAGAGGCACAGGGGGGTTGAATTAAGTTTCCGCAGACAGCTTTACTCCTGGCATTTCCTAGTCTTTTTGAGTGCTTTACTTTTCCATCTCAATGTTCTTTTAACATATTTTTTTTAAATAATGTAATTGTTAATACAGTGCCCAAAAGTGTGCTAGGTGCTGTACAGGAAAAAAAGAAAGACAGGCTTCCTGTCCCCAAGAATCTTATAGTCTAAATGTGTCACAACAAGTGAGAATAAGTAACCACAGGGAAGGAGGAGGATGAGGAAGCACAAAGGTTACAATGATGAGATCTCATTATTATTCAGTTATGGTGTGTGCACACTGATGATTTTATTAATATAAAAATGTTTGTTTACATGCTCTAATTATTTGGTGGCTTCTTCAGTGATTTCCACACTCTCCACTCCCTTTTCAGAAGGTTCACACTGCAGATAGGACACCTGAATAAATTTCAGATTGAATTTCCTCACGAAGTCCCTTTAGGGTTGATTGAGAGGGAGGAAAAATGGTGCTTCAGTCTCCACTTGTGGAGCTTGGTTCCTTGGGACACTGCCTAGGAAAGTCTCCTCCGAATTGGGTGAAAAAGGACTAGTGTGGCCCTCCCATTTTCCATGCATGCTTACCACGGTCCCCTCCAAGTTTTTCCTCTCTCTTCTGGTGGAAGTGGAGGCAATGATTTGTCCCAATAACATCTGCAAAGATGAGAATTTACCCATATGTACCTCCTGCCCATACTTAGGCCTACATTTAATAATGTAGTGATGGAAATCTTGATATGCATGTGGGGGCATGCTAATGTTACTGTGGGAATCTTAACTTTTTGGTCCCGATCTGGATTTGGATATTTATGTTAGTTACAGTACTATGGCCTGAATATCTTTTGTACAATTCATATACATAGATACAATAATAATAACTTATGACCCATAGAGAACTTATGGTAAAGTGGTTGCTTCTTTTTTAAGAACTATATTTATGCAGTACTCATTAAATAGTTAGGGAGTAACTGCTTTAACTGACTAATGCAATTAATTCTACTAAGCTGTTCATTGCTTTAGAGTTCCATGTACTGAATTGATCCTGAATTTTATGGTGAGTTCTTTAAATTTATTTTTTTCTTATACAGGAGTTTGCATATGCAGATCAGTGCACTTGATGACATTTCAAGAACATTTAAATATTTTAAGTTGAATTAAATTTCAAAGCTGGCAGATCATATTTGATGTGAATGATATTCAAGCATGTCTGCCAAAGTGCTTACATGGCTCAAACTTCATTTCTGAAAATCAAGGTGTCGCTTTATTCTTTGAGAACAAAGAATAGTCTGATTTTTAAATTTCTTATGCTTAATGTTGTCCTACTTTCCAAATCTTGGCTGGCTACAGAATCCTTCACGGAGAGGTGATGGAGGGCACAGTAGTTGCTGTAATCTCCTTATGGACATTCTCCAACTTTTAATAAAGATTTCAGATTTTATTTTCTCTGTAAAGACTGGGAGCAACTGCTCTTTTTATAGCCTAAGAGAATAGTACACTTTTCAAACATCATTAAGATTTAAACTTCTTGTTTGCCAGCTCAGTAGCTTAATGATGTGATGTATTATTCTGGGAGCTCCAGAGAACTTTCAATCATGATGCTTCTGATTTGGTTAAAACTCTGTTTAAGAGAAGAAAGCTGATTTCCCAATCTCAATTTAACTTTATAGATTTCATTCTTCCTTCTTAGTGATGAGTTGGCTGACTGTTCTTGAAATGAAAAGGATAGAGTTAATGCAGATAGAATGCAAAAGAGAGAAGAGAGTATGAAGTCATGCTTCAAGAAATTTCAAGCAGGGAGAGATGTAATAGTCTTTTCTTCAATATCAGTCTGAAAAGAACTTGAGGAAACTGGATCAGAATGGATGCAAAAAAAAGTTAGCCTTTTTAGTGTGCTCACTTGGTGCACATAGGTGGTGCCATGTACCTGGTAGCTCTTTAAAATGGCACCTGGGTACAGGAGGGGTATATCTTTGTTTTTACTGGATTTCAGTGCTATCCAGGGAAATTCATTCTGCAGGATAAGTAGTTTGCAAATGGAATCCTGGCTCCATTTAAGTAAATAAGAGTTTTGCCATTGGCATCAATATGGGGCCAGGATTTCACCCACATTTACTAATTTGTTATAAAGATTTTTTTTAAAGGTTGACAGTACATGTTATTTTCTGACCTGTGTATTAAGAGAGAAGAGGTCAGATATGCAAGATAAGGGAATATAAGCTGTATGTTACTTATATTTTTGGACCCCTTTGGAAGAAACTAACAAAATAGAACTAAACATGAAAATAAAAACATTATTGGGGACTTTATCTACAATGATGGATTCAGAATTGTGACAAGCTGTTGTAGTTTAGTAACAAAGTATTGTTAATTTATTTGAATTAATCTAAAATTTGCATTGCTATTAAAGAAATTTAAACAATATGGCAGTTGAGGTACCTATAATGCATTAAACTGGAAATAAAACCAGCTTAACATCCCCTCAAAATCAACATCTCACTTGTAGATGAATCCTTGCCCTACTGTTTTGGCTACTAAGTGAAGCAAGGCTTCCCAATTCACTTATTCTTGAATTTAAATGTGAAATCATTACAACAGGGCATGGCTTTGAAGACAGGAAAACAATTATCCTGTTGTTTTTGAATTGGGAGAATGTTATGCATGTAAAGACCAACTATATTTCATTCCTGTGTTTTCAGGTCTCAGTGGTCAATCAGTTGGATATGCAAGTCATCGTTTCTAATGTTCCTCCCACTCTTGTGGAACAAAACAAAGATCAACTTATAGGGTAATGCTTTTATTTATTATATAATACCATATGTGCAGTTCACTGTGTTTGTTTTTAGGTTCAGCAAGTGATAGTCACTATGCGCTGAAGTTGGATAAAAGCTTTATTGAATGAGAGTAAGGAAAGAAGTATTTGGAAAGAGAGTAGTACGAAAGATCTAACATTGAATATCTGAAGGCACATCTATGTAATTCCAAAAATTCCAGGGTTAAAAAGAAAGACCTGTGTTTTATAACATCTTCCTCTCATTTATATCTGTGCAACCCCATTAACATCAACATTGACTTCAGTTGGGTTGCATGGTTGCAACTCAGGGTAGAATTGTGGCCCACAAATGTTTGTCATGTGGTCAATATTCGACTTGCATTATTATTAAAATTTTCATACAATGATAAAGACATTGTTAATGGTAAGTGATTTTTTTATTTTAGTTACAAGGTATCATGCAAAGACATTAGCCGTATGTAGTGGAGAAAACGATAATAATAATTGAAACTCTTAATGCTTTGTGACAAAACTGAAGTTTTTTGCTATATTGGAAACTGTCCAAAATCATTTTTGTAAGATATATGTTAATATACTTCATATTCCAAACATACAGTAATCTCCAGAAGTGTCAGGATTTCATGGTTAGTTTCTCTTTTAAGTCGAGAAGAAATTGCTTCACTCTGTCTCTTCAGCAATGCAATCATAAATTAATCTAAATAGGAGAGAAAATATTTGAACTTCCAGTTTAATTTCTCTCATGAGATCAGGGAAGAAAGTTGTTTGGCTTATTTATGACAGAAATTGCTAAAGGAGATATTCACTTTTTTAGCTTTTGCTCTTCTATCAGTTCTTTAAGGCAGTGAGGCAGGATATTCAGCAGATTGCAGAAGTTTCATTCTATCTTGGCTGTCATTGTAATCTTACTCCCCTTGAGGAATGAGATGCATTAGGAGTAATGATGTGCTTATCCACTGAAAAGGAAGAGCATCATCCCCATAATACCTCTTGTCTCCTCTCTCCTGGAAAAAAATTGTGGTTGCTCATGAGGATGTAGGTTTTTCCCCCATTCTATTTTGAGTTCAGCTGCTAGATTCTAATGCCAAAAACACTACTGAAATTGTCTAGGCAATGGTCTATACTCACAGTGACTCTATCTCCTAGATCTATGAATAACAGAAATAGAAATCTGCCGCCTAACAGTAGGAACTTTCCTTCAAAAAAGTGGCAGTTTTTGGCATTGTCTACAAAGATAAAGAGCTTATCCTTCAATTACCTTTCAATTATAGGTATGGGTATTATTTGTCTCTCCTTTGCTAAGGTTTCAAGTTGAGTTTATCAGGGTGTGCCATGCAGTAATATCTTCTTTTTACAAGATAAATAATGTATAGACTCCCTGGGCTCCAGCTTTACTCAAATGGGATGCTGAAGATTTCGAGGATGAAGGGTGAGATTTTGTACTGTCTCTAAGAAGCACATCACAGAACTTACAGCCCAAAGGAATGGGGCAGGCCAAACTGGCTTTAAGCCATCTTTGAGCCCTCCCAATTCTGGACTGTTCCAGGTGTCATGGCAGTTAGTGTAATTTACACAACTCTGGGTTGCTGCCTAAGTTATAGGAACCTTCCCATAGCTGTCTATGGGTAGCAGCAATGCTTAAAACCTCAGCAATGCTATGTGCTGCAGCCCCACCCCAAACATTCTCCTCCCTGTCCCAGGGGCACCCCGGTGTGCCTCTACAGCAAGACTTGTGAGAAGGTCATCAGAAGACAGTTTTTGGCCATCTTCATCAGTCCTGTGGCTGAGGTAATTCTTCCCCAGCCTGATCTGGGATATTCATCACTCCTTTATGTTGTTCCACTCCTTTTATGTGGCATAAAGGATTTGGACAATACGTGAGACTCTTACCCAAAGAGTCCAGATTGTACTGTGGTTGATTCTTTTGAATATATGTAATGATAAAATACGGCTCAAGTGAACTCAGATGAGATTATACCTTCAGTAAAACATCTGCCGGAAAATGAGTATACTGCAAATGTAACAGTCCTGCCCTTAATGATAAACATTATAAACTGCTTTCATTAAGACAAATTATCAGTTTATATTAGAATTGCATGAATTCTGGAAAAAGTTGTTATGGAAAACTTGTTCAAATAAAACTGTTAATTTGTTTCAGCAGCATTCACAATTAAACTCTTTTTATCCATTTTCTAAATATGTCTATAGATTTGACTGTTTTAGTTAGGAAAAATATTTGCAGAAACTTGATGTTTCAAGACTACTCCTACAAATATATATTTGTCTGAAAGTTTCAGCCGGAAATATATTTGCATGGTCTTCTTGAAATTCCTTTGATTTTCCTCCTGCTGTTTATAAAAGCTTTAATCATTCAATCAAGGTGTAAAAGCTAAATGTGATTTATATGACACATCAAATGCTACAAATAACAAATAATGAATAATCAAAAAAATAGTGAATGCAAATAGTTTGTGAACCACCCATAAGTTGAAATATTTTTGCCTGAAGTATTTTCTGAACAATTTCAATAATGAACAAATTCATAACAAACAGAGCATTGACGTATAATTCATGAACAGAAAAAAGAGCTACATTCATCATATAAATTATGTTCTACAGAGGATTTGCCCAGCTCTCGTTTGCACTAAAGTTACGCTAAATAAAAATGTTAACACTGAAAGATCCAAAAATCTAACCTCTGACAACTGTAACTATTTAGCGATTGGGAATGTTGGATATTTAGTAACTTTGACAGTGGTAGAGATTGTCAGAATAAAGTAATATTTAAAGTGGCTACAACCTATTCAGAAATATATGTTGTTGTTCTTTCAAATGAGAACAGTTAACACAGCCAAACCTCAGATGTACCTTGTACAGATGTTCAGTGGCTGGAATAAAAGAATATTCTATACATAGAATTAAAATTTCTGTTCTATGTTCATTTTGCTTTAAAGTATTGGCTTATTAGAAAGAGATAAGCAAAGTACCTCTGGCTGACATTTCAGATAGGGCCATGATCCTGTAAAGTCATTCAATAAACACTGCAGACTTCCCCTGACTACTTCAATTTCATCAACCAGCTGTCAATGTCCCCTAGTCTACACATCAATGTCAAATTCCACATTTCATTCACCCACTTCAATTAAGGCTGTTTGGGGTAGGTCCAGCTAGGTCTGCTACATCTGCAGTAGTGCTGACAGAGGAAAAAATGGGTTTTGCCTTATTGGAGAAATTGATGTGTGCTCCCTTCTTCAGAATAAATCTCTTTTTGGAGGCAGGGAGCAGAATTAGGAACTGTTTTCATATTTATTTAAAATATGCAGTATAACTCTTTATGAATAGGGTACAGTTTATAAAGGAATGTGTGACTCATGTGGCTCTTCACTTCCTGGTTTTAGCTAAAAACATTTGAGGGAGGCTGATCTTGTGCTACTTGCAGCTAGGATGTACTAGAAATGTCATGTAAAAGCAAATTCTCATGAGACTTGCACCCCAATTTTACAGACCCTAAGTCATGTTACCCAAGACAAAATAATGTGTGGAGTGGCTAAAAATTAAAACTTCTTGAAATATTTGTAACTATTTCTAGTTTCCTGTGATGGGGTGTCGACCCCATACAAGGCCTGAGCAGGTTAAAGAGAGCCTGTTAACCTTGTAGGCTGCACCTGGAGGAGAGCCAGGGGTAGATGAAGCCCAGCTGGGCAGGGGTAGGCTGGGCTTGTATAAAGTCAAGGAGTTGAGAGCAAGAGGAGGCTGGCTTGCTCGGCTGGTGACTGCTGGCCAGAATGCAGGCTGGGAGAGGCTGAGAGCTTTAGCTTGTAACTCAGAACTTGGGGGCAGCTTGGGTTGGTCGCAGGTTGGCTGACTGAAGAGAACTAGAAAATGAGGGAGAAGGAGCAAGGAATGAGGAATAGCTTCAGATTAGGAAGAAGAAAACAAGAATGGAAATATCTGTATCTGAACAAAAGGTAGCAGACTTGGCTGGTGTATTTGCTATTTGTGCTGTATTGTTGGTCACCTAAGTCAAATGATCTTGCGTCTCTTCCCTAAATGGATGACCTAAGTTGTAGAAACAGCAAGAATCCATTTTCTGGCCATCGATTATTCATAGGCATACTTAATTTTTTCCAAAAATCTGTTGTATGAATAATCAATACAGCTTGTCAAAACAGCTTCAAGGGCATTTGTGGTCAACACATTTTCATAAATGTGCTATTATTCACAGTGCTTGCTTCCTGCAAATAAAACCTATTCATCTGAATGTTTGCAAATAAAAGATATTATAGACACCAGCTAAGTAAATTGGAAGGCTGTGTTTGCAAAAATAAATAAATAAAACAAACCACAAATACAGTATAACAGTTCTTACCAAGCTATAGTTTGGAAAATAATATGTCATTGTAGTCATGTACCATCTACATATCTAATAACCCATGCAAGAAGATGACAATTACACAAATGAAAAGAGAGACAAGGTGGGTGAGGTAATATCTTTTACTGAACCAACTTCTGTTGGTGAAAGAGACAAGCTTTTGAGGTTACCTGAAGGAGCGCTCTATATAGCTCAAAAGCTTGTCTCTTTCACCAACAGAAGTTGGTCCAGTAAAAGATATTACCTCACCTTGTGTCTCTCCTGTCTTGGGACCAACAGGGCTGCAACAACACTGCAAACACAAATGAAAAGAGTCTTTTAATTCCATTTTCTGTACTAAAGGATCTCAGTACTAAAATAAAATGTGATAAATCAACAAGTGGGGGGTAGGTGTTATAAGCTATTACAGGATTAGAGCATGTAAGATTATGTCTGCCATAGACTTGGAAGTGGCCAGAGAAATTCAAGGATTAGAAAATGTCATACTTAAATTTCCAATGGAATATAAAAGTGAACAAGCACTTTTTATTATAAACTTCATGTATAAAAACATGTGTCTGGTTCTCCAAAATATATTGAGCCTGCATTTAAGAATATAAAACTTCAGTATTTTAACAACGGTAGT